ATCTCTCCTCTGAAACCTAGACCATCGCTGCCAATCAGTGTTGTCAATACAAAGCTCTACCTTTTATCAATTTCCGTATAAGACAGGTGCTTCTGATATATCTTTTGACGTTCTTCTTATTCCAACTGGGATATCACTGTATGCTATTAGCAAATGGATCCTGGATTAGATCACTCTGTATATTCTCTTTGGATTTCAGAGCGAGGTGGTTGGGCATGCAGGGAGAGGTAGGAACAGCCACAAATCTGAGAAAAGATGCAGCTGGTTCCATAATTTGCCAAGAGGTGCTTTGTATCCAAATCCATTGTTTTGAAGCTCCTCTTCTGAAGGATTTGCACAGCAAAGGCAAATTATTATCAAAAAAATATTCTTCATTTTAGGAAAACTAGTGGTTAAGGCTCCAGACTAGAAACCAGGAGAGTGTGAGTTCTAGTCCTGACTTAGGCATGAAAGCCGGCTGGGTGACTTTGGCCCAGTCACTCTCTCTCAGCCCAACTCACCTCACAGGGTGGTGGTTGTATTTAAGTATGATCACCACTGAGTTATTTATAAAAATAATAAAGGTGGGATGGATGGATGGATGGATGGATGGATGGATGGATGGATGGATGGATGGATGGATGGATAGATGGAATGATGCAATATCCCATGATGATTTTGAAGGATCTAGGCAATAATTACTGATGAAATTCAGCTTTCCATGACAAGAAGGTAGTTCATTGGATATCTCTGTCCCTTTTCCTGCTTTCTTCTGCAACTCCATTATTCCTCATCACCCTTTTTTCAATAGGAAGACAAACCTACTATGCATTGTGGGCTAGGTCTTATAGAGCTGCAGTGGTGAGAGTAAATACCCAACCTGGCAACTGTGCCAGAGCAGCGCAAAACAATTTTGCCTAATTTAAGCAGTACTCTCTACCATCAATTTTCAGTAGTTCCTCCAATCTTCTGAACAGGTTTAGTGGAAGTTACAGGAGATTTGGAGAGAAATGTACAAGCAAAAGCAAAACAAGAAGTCACCCACTGAATTGAGAAAGACACTCTCATCGAGCCAGTATTGGGGAAATATAAAACCTGCCTGCATTAATGATTTAAGTCAGACAGGCTTATATGTATAGCAACTGATGGATAAAGCTATTGATTGCTTGCGTCAAAAATCCTCTTCCAACTAACACTGCATTAGTAGAAGAGAACAAACAGGAATCTATCTGGATGCAAGGTGATTTTTATCTTTTTCTGGATGAATGTAGGTGATTTAGGGAATCATGAAATGTAGTTCTATGGCAGGACTAACATATCAGTTCAAACAATAAACAAAATATACCAGAGGGTTTTTATGCACAGAACAAGTCGAGCTACCTATGGCTTGTCCAACATTCTTCCCACCAGTATCTGAGGCTCTACACTAGGATGAGAGACAGGGAGAAGTTATTGCAGGTTGAAATATGGTGTTTAAGAAGACATAACATATACAAAAGCAAGTGATGCATTTCCTCTCAGATTATAGTGTACTGAAGCCAATTTTTATAAAGCTAACATATGGGTGAATCTGGAAGAAAACTGAAATAAAAATTGCATTTCAATTTATAAAATCAAGTGTCAAGCAGTTCTTTTGTTCAGGCTTTGCCACACAAAACACCCAGCTTTCAGAGCTCTCATTCAGTATAACATTCACTTTTCAAATGCTTTCAAATTATTAAATCCAGGTTTCACAGATTTGCTTCTGCAATTTAGACAGTATTCTGCAGAATATAGCCCACTGTCTTTTGGCACACTGGGGTTCAAATGCAAATGTTCCAATGCATAAAAAATATTGCCTATTGACCATAGGTGTTTTGGGGGGCTGGGTTTTGCTTTGTTTTGTTTTGGTATGCAAACCACAATTACATCATGAAAAAGTAAAGTTTTCCGCCTTTTATTTCTTATGGACCAATCTTTCCATAACTACATACATAAAGATTACAGATTTTTAATTTTACTGAGAAAAAGAAAAGAAGAAAAAGAATCATCTCTGAAGAGTTGGTAACAAATTGGAGAAGACCATAACAAATTTATTCTTCTCATCCATTTCCCATAGGCTTTAACTTTTATTCACTGAACTAGTAAGTTGTGAAACTTGCAAGGCAGTGTACATAATGGATGATTTGGGAGTTGCTATGGAAAGCATACTTACTTCAAGTAAATAGTCACATAAATTGCTTCCTAATATCTTCCTCACAAAGCAAGTCTGCCCTGGGAATGCTGCAGTTGTAAAATAATGATTTTCATATATCTTTACTAAAGACCTCACCAATGATTTCAACTGTTGTACTTTATCTTTGGAAGCCTCCTGCGGCAAAATGAGGAAACACCTCAATGCTATCAACCATGGCTTTGAGAGGGAACTGAACAAAAGGACAATTGTGCCGTAAATCAGGCTAATAGAGCAGTCCAAATGCTCCATCTGAGAACACTAATGTTGGAGCATTCTGACGTATCTGGCCCTCTGCCAACTTCAGGATAGTTCCAAGGGATTCACAGCTCTTGTTTTGCTGCCTCTCTATACCAACCAGACCCTATTTGGGCCTTTCTGGGGTCAGGATTTTATAATGTTAGGAAGAATTAACCACAAACATTATAGAAAGATGAGAATGGGAATCTTGCTATAAGTGCTTCACATTCCACTTGTCATCTTCCTCATTATGACTGCTGACTCTCTTGGATTTCCCCCTGAGTTAGAAGGAAGTCAGATAATGTTAATGATCAGATAATGCTTAGGCAGCAACAGAGACATGAACCTGGGCATTTTTGGCCATCAGAATTGCATTTCACACTTCATTTTGTTGCTCTGGATTTAACATACTCTAGGAAGTACTCCTTAGCAAAAGCTGTTGGAGGGCAAGAAAGGTCTGCCTTGTGTCTGACATAGAGTAGGTGTGAATCTGTTAGTATGAAAGTGTCGCTTCATTTCTATGGATATGTCTGTCTGTATTACTATTAAGAGTAGTAGTTTCCATTCAGTTTATTACTAAGATTTCTCTGCTGGTCTGTTCCAAGCTGGCTCTGGCTCTGTATTTTATAACCAATACAAACAGCTAGAGGTAGAAAATATTTTCTCTATATTTAAGGGTTTTTTTTAATTTATTCAGCAGAGTTTAACCCATGCACTGTGCAGCAAAAAGTATGCAGATCCTAATTTCTTTTAAAACTATGTAAATTAATAGGCATCTTCACCTTTTGAAGCAGTGAACTCTTCATCAGAGGGAATAAAAACAAGATTAGATCTTGGATGTATTATAATCAGGGAGAGAGAAAACAGACATTTTAGTCATATCCAGCAGTGGCCCGTTTTCCATGCTTTTAGCATCCATCTAGAAAATACATTGCCCAGTGGGGAATAAAATTGTTCTAATGACTTTTTAAAAAATGTTTCCTTTTCACATAAGAGGTCAGAGTTGCAATAATCACCCTGGGAGGAATTCTCTTTCCTCAATCAAAGCTATTTGGGCTGATGAGTATTTTTCTGTATATTTAGAAACTCTAAAATGTTATAGTTTTACCTAAATAGTTGATGCTACTAACTGATGTGTCGCACTGTGGGTAAGATAGATGAACGAAACAATGCCTGTGGCATTTGAAAAACCAGCACATTGCCTTTAAATCAGGATCATACGGTCTGTGGGTAGATGTCTTAAGTCAATGCTGCAAACTGATGGAATCCATGAGCTGCATCAGGTTGACACTTACAGAATCCCATATAAAGGGTAGCTGTGATGGACTGGAATGGTGGGAGGGGAGTAAAGAATGTGCTCTCATCTCCAGAGAAGCGAGGAAGAGATAAG